TTGTTTTGTTTTGTTTTAATTTTTAACTAGGAAAAAAAAATGTTGGTGAGGATGTGGGAAAATTCAAATCTTATCCATTGTTGGTGGAATGCAAAATGGTACAGTCACTGTGGAAAACAGTGCAGCAGGTCCTCAAAACAGCTAAAAATAGAGCTATCGTGTTGTTGTTGTTAAGTGCCATTGAGTCAATTACAACCCCTGTACAGGGGTTCTGAGGAGTGGCTGGTGAGCTTGAACCACCAACCTTGAGGTTTAAACTAACTTTGCAGTCCAGCGCATTAACCCACAGTGCCATACCAGGACTCCAGAACTATCATATGGCCTAGTAATTCCATTCTTAGGTATATACTCAAAAGACTTGAAAGAAGAGATGCAAAAAAATTTTGAACACCAATGTTCACTGCAACAGTATTCACAATAGCCAAAAGATATAAACATCTTAAATGTCCATTAATAGAAGAATGAATAAGCAAAATGTGGTACATACATACATGTGAATGTTAGTCAGCCAGTAAGAGAAATAAAGTCTTGATACATTCTCTAGTATGGGCAAAGCTGAGCAAAATAACTCAGTCACAAAAGGACAAATAGCGTATGACCTCATTTATATAAGATGACAAGAAAAGACAAATATAGAGAGACCACAGTTTATTTGTGGTTACCAAAGGTGGGAGGGTGAAGGAAAGAGGGGTTCAACAGTGATAGAAAAATCATATTAAGAATACAATATTAAGGGTTGCACAGCAAATGAATTGGCAAAAATTGTGATAGATATTCTATTTTAATTATTCTATTCATTCAAAAAATGAATAGCTGCTGAGGCTGCTTATATACTTAGCAAGCACCACATGGGATTTGGTCTTTGGTTTGGAGGTTTAGAGTCATGGCTTTCTGGTACATCCCAATCAACTGATCTAATAACATGTTTAGTACTTCTGTTCTGCCTCCTACTTGATTGTGTAGTACCTGGGATCTTAAACACTTAGCAAGCAGCCATCCAAGGTATAAAAATTAACCTGTATTCACCTGGAGCAACAGAAGAGGGATACTCAGAAATAAGAGAAGGATATGGAATATGTGGCTAAATGCCTTATAAACAATTGTCTCCTTTGCCATAAGATCAGATGGTTTCCAGCTATAATTACTTAACGTTTTAATCCAAGATCCCATAAAAAGAATCCTGATCAAAAGGGGCAAAAGGCACAGCAGAATATCAAATTATCATGGACTCCAGAATTTCTGGAGCTATAGAGAGTAGATGAACCCCTGAAACTACAGTCAAAAAACCTTTAAACTTTAAACCAAGAATATCCCCTGAAGTATTTTCAAAACTGAACAAAAGTCTAACTAGTAGAACAAACAAGATGGTGGATTGGGTAGACTTGCAGTGAGGAGCTCCATGAGCAAAAACACAGAATACTGGACCAAGCAGGCTCAGGGGATGGTGCCAGAACTCTGAACCACATATAAAGGAATATTTAGAAGGTTGGAAGGCTTCCAGCTAGGGAATTTGTAGTAGAAATAAGAAATCCATTATTTTCTAATCCAAGACACTCAGCTGCTCCCAGAGCTGCCATTTTAGGCAAGACCAAGCAGGAGAAGGATCAGAGCAGCCACATATGTCTGACAGAACCACAGAGATAAAGGTTTGGACTTTTTTTTTTTTT